ACAGAACGAAGAAGAGGGAAAGAAGAACGATGTGGAAAAAAGGAGGAAGTAAAAAGGAAGCAGTTACAAAGTTCACAGCAAGGCAAGGAACCTTCTCCGTTGTTTGCTATCGTTTTTGACTGGGTTCTGCAGCCACGCGAATGTGATAAGTGGGAAACATTTGCATAAGTTGTCTTGCATTTGTGGATGATGTCATTGGTTAGCGAAAACTTCGAAGGTTCTACACCACCTTTACCAACTGTGAAACAGGTTCTCTGATCTGAATCTCTCGAGTAAATTCCAAAAGACGAACTAGATGGCATCTGGTGCAGCCTAGATAAATATTTGTCTGACCATGTTCAAACAAAAGTTGTAGAAAAAATATCAGAACATCTGTATCTTGGGAGTAAATTGGCTGAAGACAGCTGAGGAGTGGCAAGCGAAGTTGAAAAATGCTGTATGTTGGTATTAATTGTGAGCAATTAAAATTATTAATTATTCAAGATCTTGAAGGACAGACGTTGGCGGTAGCACCAAGCTGCGGATATATAGGATATTTTGAGCATCTGGTTTATGGCTGCAGATAGCATATCTGAACAGAGCTGAAAGAAAACAAAGACCGGAAACGACGAAAATCGAGATTGACATTGGAAATAAAGTGGTATATATTGATATCGAATACTGTTGTAAGAGGAGAATTAAGATACTTAATTAAAGTGATCGATTGGCTACAAATAAAGCATTTATGATTGTGGGGCAATTATAAACGAATAAACCACAACCACATTGAACGCAAGGCCTGATAGCAGACGGCTTCTAGCCTCAAAAAGAAGAAGAAGATGAAGAAGACAGATGCAAAAAGCAAAGAAAGTTGGCGAGACAGATGGAGGTAAAGAAGGCTGCAGAACAGAAGGAAAAGATACAACAGATAAATATATTAGAATCAAGAGGAAGAAGTAAAAAAATGAAGTATTCTAAGGTCATAATACAGCTGAATTGGTGATGAACAAAAAATTGAAGAAATAAAGCAGAAATGACAAATTATCAAAAAAGAAGAAGAACGAAGGTGAAGAGAAGAAGGTAAAAAGAATGGAAGAAGGAACAGAGTTTAGAAAGGAGCACAAGAAGTCAGGGTTTGAAGAGAACGTAAGGAAAAGCCCAAAATTAATTCTGCACTCATTTCAGACCTATAGCTCAATTAGTGTTT